CTCAACCTTAACACAAAATAAGGAAAAAGTGAATTTTTAAGAAATTTGCGGGATTTCCCGGGATAAGAAAAATTTCCCGGTTTAAAAAAATCAACCGTGATCCCGAAATCCCGTTTAAGAAACCCTAGCTACGAGCATTACAAACCGTACGTAGTAGAATTTACACTGAAGAGGGGCTCATACAAGCCTGAAATGCATATGTAATTTACAATAAAGGAATACTTAACCTCAGAGCTGAAAGAAAGTCTACCGTTTGTTAACCATTCGAATTGAAGAGACATATACTATATCTACGTATTTATCAGCTAGTATACCAGATTTTGTGAAGATATTAATTTATTCCATCTTGACATTTTTCTCCGTTGCGTGTCGCTTTGCGTTGAATTTTTGTCGATGTTAAGCCTAATGAAGACTATTGTATTGTTAAAAATTATTTTTTTATTTTGTACAAACAAAATAAATATATTGAAAAATATAAAAACAATAAAAAATTATATTCAGAAGTTAATTTAGTATCAAAAATGTAAAATATTTGAGTAGCCCAAGATATAGCCAAAGATTGCAGCGCCACAGCACTAGAGAAAATTTAAATTTGCCGACTGGAATTTTTTCAGATGATTGACGTTTTGGATGATTGACTTTCGGATAATTGACGCTCTACTGTATATGTGTAAAATCTATAAGCCTATTATTAAATGATATCAACTTTTTTGTCTTAAACATAGAATTATTTGCTTATAATTTTAAAAATATGTGAACTTGTACTATATAAAAATTTTAAAATTTATTTTAGAACTTGGATAATTTGTTGAAACTTATTCATGATATTGTTGAACGCCATAATGATACAGAAGTTTTAGAAGCTTGTGCAAAAACTTACGAAGCTCTTTGTAATGAGGAACTGGCGATACATTCAAGATGTGCTGTTGCAAGAGGGACACTTATAGACTCACTCATTCATAAGTATAAACAAGCTCTGAGTGACTTAATTCAAGCAGTAAGTTATATTGATATTTAAATTAATTGTATATTATTATAATATGATAAATTTATCATTTTATCATAAATATCTCTTTCCAAAATGATCTTACTTGATGATCTCAGACAGTTAAGTTTTTGCATAGGACTTTTGTTTTATTATCAAAACTCTCTTTATTTTTTTTGGTGCTTTAAAAATAGAGGTCTACAAAATAAAAAAATGCATAAAGAAAATATTTTAATGTACATCTACATATAATATGTGAAAATATTCAACAACAATGACAAGAAATTAATATTTTATAGTTTTATAGAATATTAATTTCTTATGTGCATTTAGAAATACAGGGGCTCTTCTTCTTGTGAACTTTCAGACTTGTAAATGATTTGACTGTGAGTCTAAAATTTAAATTTTAGATATACGATGAATTTGTTAAGTTTTCTTGCTGTTTGTGTGGTGGTGCTGAAGTCTGTTTTTGGCCAGTATTAAATAATTAATGTGAGCTTATTTTGGAAACCACTGAAAAGGGGTTTATAGGCAAATTTGTTCTGTCCTGAGCTTATTTCTCTCATGTATCATTAATTTTCATTTTTGCATGAATTCTGACATTTCATTGCTGCTCATGAAGTGGGGTCAAACGTCACCTTAACAGCATTTTTTACTATTCTTTGTAATTTTTATAAACTTTTATGATTAATGCTTCAAAAATGCATCCAAAACTTAATAGTAATGCTAACAGTGGAGATAAATGCAAGAAGTGTTGCACTATTGCTATGGAAACTAAACTTGACATTATTAAACTAGTGTGTTAGGTGGAAAAAAAAGCATTTGAACTTTTGCTACTGCTTAGTAACAGTAGTCTGTTGCTACTGTTACTAAGCAGTAGCAAGAGGGTAAACAAGTATAATGTATTCTGTTAAGTACATTGAAGGATAAACACTAACAATACATGATTATTCTATATACAAAAGTACCTTTTAAGTTGGTTTTGACTTACGAGAAAGTCTTGGAAACCTAACCTGTTCATAAGTAGGGGAGTTCCTGTATATGAAAATTATATGGCAATTTTACTTAATTTCTATGATAATGAATTGAAAACAATGAAAGTTATAAAATCCTAATATCTTATTTGTTTATTTTTTATTAGCACCCAGTCCAGTTTATCCTAATACTCTTGTGCTAAAAAAATAGACTTATTGACTGACTAATTGTTATTTTATTTCTTGACTATACAGTATGTAAACTGGATTGACCTTTTTGATTAAAAAAAATTGATGGCAATAAAATTTTATATTGTGTTACTTTTGAATCTGATTCCTATTAATTAATAACATACTTAATAAATTTCATTCTGTGTCTAGGACTAAGGGGCAACAGCTGAATGGGATGAAGCATTAGCATGCCATGCTGCGGGATCTGTGATCGAATTTGGAGAACATATTTCTTGGACTATCTGTCCAGATATGTAGATTCTTTTACCACTCCACTGCCCGTATTGTGGACTTATACTAACACAAGTTGCCAAATGGATAAAATCACTGAACATAGGTAGTTGGTCGTGGGTTTGTGCTTTGTCAATGGGTTGGCCATGTAAAGTTTATCAGGTTTTCTTCATGTTAGTAACATCTAAATAGGGGCCAGTTTCCCATAAAAGACCTCCCATGAGGCATCCTCTATCACCATATCATCATGTGTTGTGTTGCCGTTTTTAAATAGGCTAAACCAAATCAAACTGAATCCATCATTGGCATGGAAAAGTTTTTATCTTGTGAGTACTAAGCAGTGGCGGGGCAAGACCTAAATTTGATGTGGGCAAGGTACATTTTGCGAGGCCTCTTGGTGGCGCAAGAAGACTGATTTTATAAAATAAAAAGCAGTTGAAACTGTCAAATTTTTATTCCTAAAAATACAAACTATATTCTTTAACTAACATTAAAAAAAATTAAAGAAACAGAAATTTTTTGCTTTTAGCCTTACTGAACTCCTTAATAATTGTATTGTAATTCAGCTTATATGCTATACTGTATATGCTTCAATAGATAAAAGTGCAAAAGCTGAAAGTCTTTCCTGACCCATTGTATTTCTTAAATAATTTTTTATTAGTTTTAATTTTGAAAAGCCCCTTTCAGCGTAGGCAGTACTTACCGGTATTGTTAACAAAATTTGAACAGCAATGTAAATATTTGGGTAAATTTCTTTCAAGTTATTTTCTGTTATGTATTTGAGCAGCTGTTTCACATCTTTAATGAAGTTGGTAAATTTGGGATCATTGTTTGTAATTCTTCATATAATTCGTAAGGTTGTAAGTCACTGCTCTCACTCACTCGCAGGACTGAGTGTAAATCTTGACAGTTTTTTTAATATTTGCTCGTTTGGAATATTTTTTAACTCGCTTAGATCATAGAGAAAACCAAAATTTTCAAAATGTTAATTTAAAGACATCAATCCCGAATCCATATTGCTTATTATAGAATCAATCGTGGTGTTAAAAAAAATCTGTTTCATACCTGCTTTTGGGAGACTGTATAGGTTGATCGCTGCCTTCATCATCGAACATCCTTTTCTTTTTGGCTACCCTTTCGTTTTTAAAGTCTTTTGGCAGTTCATAACTGCTATTCTCAATAAATTGACGAGCGTCAGACAAGCATTTTTCGAATCCAGTTTGTCGATATTCTTTGATCCAGTCACAAAATGTACGCAAATGTTCAAGAGCATTGCTTAAATGGACTTGTAAAGATTGCCATAATTTGCTTATGATATTAACACGCGATAATATCTCATACCA